TAAGACTGTACTAGGTCCTTTTCTGTTCAATTACCAATGGTTTTGAAACTGGAAATTGCCAGGCTATTTCAAGGGAAGACAAGCAAATTGACGTGCAGTTRTCACATTTCTTCTCGAAGCAGCGTGGTGGGCTACGTGCGGTCTCTGAATGCAGCACGCGCCAGTCATTGTTTGCGTAAATAACAGGTTCCCATAAATCAATCCATATGTATCATCACCAGCATCAAACTTAAGTGAACTTACCACGAGATGAAAATGAGATTCATCTCATTGTCGTTGTACATTTTATACAACGAACCTGTTTGTTTCGGTCCGCCTCAGCTGATTAACAGTTGTAATAGTAATATTTTTCCAGAAGCCTCTGGCTATTGTTTGCCAACACTTATATCGTCAGTCAACCAAGTGACACAAGCATTCATAATGAAGGAAGACTAAACATTGTCGCGGTCAAAAAGCAAAATAGCTTATAACAAACAGAGGCGTATTTGATTTGGAAATTAACTCTTAACTCTGTTACGAGTTCTGACGTCTATATTGAGAATTTAACKATGATATTAAAGACTAGTTAGACTRAAACYAAGTTGTATTTAAGAAAGAGTCTTTCATTTTGTMCTTGTGTTTAATACATGTGTACTATATTTTATTATGTCCTTCATCGCTCGTATGATTGAAAAGGTGTTAATACGATAGTTCTTTTTAGTAAAGAAGTTATTGGACACTCGATTATCACGCACGTAGTAATTTTATAGGGGCAGTGGCTAAATGTGCGTGACTAGAATACGCAAATTAACTGTTACTTTGAACCTACGCCTTTCAATGGTGATTGACAAGTCAGTCAATGTTGACCTGAATACACACGTTTCTCTATCAAAATTTCTTTTGTTTATTTGTTGTCAGGTTTCCCAGAGAAAACTTATAATTCATTTTGACTTCGATTCAAGCAATTGCATGTATATTTAATCACACATGGATTATATTGTCATTCAATGCACGTAGCTCTTTCTAGCGTCGAAGGGCAATGAATTATTGCGTTACTTTGTGTTGATCAAATCTGATTAAAAAATCATCTGTTTTTCAGAATATCATGAATGCAAACGCGATATAAAAACATGGAATTGTATAAAGTTGAGCCTTTTTAAACTTTGCACTTAAAACATTATTTGGACCCCGTGGTGCCTGTTTCCAGACTTTTCTCGGATGAATTAAACAGAATTATGCAAATTAACCTTTCATTGGCGGCGCTGGTCTAGGAGCGACACCCAGTTYACTCTTGCCTCCGAATCGACGGAACTGTTGGTCTCTATCGACAGAAAATGGCGACCACAGCCGCTCCAGCTAACACAACCACAGTCGCTCCTACGAACACGACCACATCCGACGTACCGCGAAACAACAGCGTCGAAACGTTCACTGTCGCTCTGATCATCAATGGAATCATAGCGCTAGTTGTGTTGTTAGTCTTCTCCTATTTAAGATCAAAGCACAAACATATCTACGCGCCCCGATTGCTTTTGGTTGACAAGACATATCCCTTAGGAACATTTAACGAGAAATGTTTTGGCTGGATATTTCCCGCGCTCCGAGCAACGAACGACGATGTATTCAACTACTCGGGAATGGACGCCCTAGTTTTGATCCGCTTCTTGAAGATGTGCCTTATAATGTCGGTGATCATTCTGCCGTATGGGATCATAGTTCTGATTCCTCTACACGTCCACGGTGGGCTTGATCTGGAGAAATTAGACCAGCTTACTTTGTCCAACGTGAAAGCATACTCGCCCAAGGTTTGGGCTCATTTGATCGCCGTCTATGCCTATACTGCTGTATTCTGCTATCTACTCTACAGGGAGTGGAAAATCTACATCGAATACAGGCAAAAATGGCTAGCTAAGGGGCTCAAACACCACTATGCAGTGCTTGTGAGAGATCTTCCTACAAAGGTAATATATTCAATTTGTTTACTACTAACTAGGTGTGTTTCTGATATGGGCGTTAACCATATGTGTTTTCGTGTGTTCCTTTGTTATCTGCAGGTGTGCTACACTCAACACTTTCTATTATATTAAATCCTTTAATTGAACACGTACATCGCATTTAAAATCATGACTATTTTCTTGTGATTTAGAGAGTGAAATCTGTCTTGTTTTTATTTTAATAGATTAGTATAAGAATTGAAAATACATTATTATGGCAAAAGGCTTTCATAGAGTTCAAAAACAAAGCATGAATTAGCTAGCACAGGGAGCCCGGCTATAGTTACGTGTGAGCGCGCCCATCGAAATGCATCACATGCATGACGACTCTGCCCTTTGGCGGATTGAAGTTCGATTTCGAACTTTGAATTTATGTTCGAAGAAATTAGCATTTAACATTTGGATGTGATGTGACTTTAAGCCAAGCGTGACCAATATGCATGAATTCTTTTTAAAAGCGGTTGACCTTAGSCCAAATTGTCAAACTGTTTATCTTTTAGACCAGAGCAAACAGTTTTTGAAGCGACCTASCGTTCAGTGKGACAACTAACTTAAATCCTTTAATAYGTCTATTATTTGAACAAGGATAGCTAAGTTAACTGTTGATCCTTTACACCACATTTTGTAGTCATTAACTAGTTAATTTAGGTTGAATTTTAGACAAGCTTAATTTAATAAACAGTTAAATTCTGCAAATTATAGTTGCAAAGTAATGAAAGCCTCAAGACCTATKTGGAGCAGTTGTTTCCTGCAGAGGTATTAAAGATTTATTATTAATAATATCAAACTGGTGTTTGTCTGAAAGCGTTTTGTCATCCAAACCTCTTATTCTGAATCTACTTTTTATTTCTCAAATAACGAAAATAACTGTATTGATTGACAGCTTGAAGATCTTCATGTGGTTGAGAACCTTGATGAATGGCAGAAACTAGTTGTCCAACATGACCAGTTTGTCTGGAAGCTGGAGAAGGCTAAGGTAATTCAAAAAACATTTCAATGTTATAATTGCATAATTATTATAATTGTTATAATTATTATATTTATAATATTTGCATAATTATTATAATTGTTATAGTTATTATATTTATGATTGCATAATTATTTACAATTGTAAAGGTTTATCTGTGTCCCACCTCTAAATCCATTGAATGATCACAAACTAATATTATTATTTCTTTTTATTAGTTTATTCATGAGAAGAAAGGTGAACGACCCATGCACAAGACTAAGTTGTGTGGTGGGGAAAAAGTAGATTCAATTTCTACCTACGAGACTGAACTTAAGGTAAAAGCAATGATTTTATTGCAAGATGTTATTAGAGTCTGCAAATTTGCAAGGAAAATTGTCCAAGCCTAAATCCACCAGTTCCTCTTGAAATGTTTATGTTTTGAGTGATCCTCAGACCTGTAGCAATTTATTAGAATATCAAAAATCCAAAAATGCAGGCTGAATTTGCTGATTTGAAAAAAAAAAACAAACAAACAAACAATAATCCCCCTCTTAGAAGTAGTGGCCAAAATATGTGTAGCATTACTGACATTTGGTATTGCAATTAATCGCCTCATGGTTCAATATTTGCCATTCTAAGTTTGCAGACTTAGATTAAGTGGATTGTGGCAAATTATTTGCATTTTTTTATATTGGTGACTACTAAAATACTTAAGGAATGGCATTGTATTACCAGTGCATTAATACAACGGAAGATACAATTTTTTTTTACATGAATAAATGTATGAAGCATTAACATTCATAGTTAGTATTGTACAAATTGTCAAGTTGAGACTTTTATGTCAATTTTGTCAAGTTTTATGCAATAATATAATAGCATACAATGGCAAATACTGCAAATAAAATTCAAAGTTAAAATCAAGCAAGGTTATGAGGGATGACTGGTATTTAGCAAGTTTCCTGAAATACATCACAATGCAATACTCTTTTAACCAGTCACATCTTGAATRTTGTAGAATTGCCATGACAATCTTGTAAAGGAAAAGGATGCAGATCACAAAGCACTTCCTKCAGCTTTTGTCATCTTCAAATCCTTGAAGGCTGCGACAGTTGCTGCACAATGTCAGTGGGACAAGATACCTGTTAGTATCAATGTCAAAACAGCACCAGAAGTCAACAATGTTGTCTGGGGAAATCTTGGAATTGGCTTTTGTCAGAGGTATCATTAACTTTTTGAAGGAGCAGCTTTACTTATACTGACTTCATCTCTAAACAAGAGATAAAATACATAATGTAAATAACCTGTTGTCATTGACATTGTCAAAGCAGGAGGAAGTGGTGTGGAATGGAGCTTCTGAAAGAATGTTGAAATTGAGATTGAGATTTTCAAAATTTAACAATGTTTTCYGAGAAAGGCAATGGACTCAATATTGAGTGCAAATGATATTCCATAAGACTTTTACACAACTTTATAATGCACTTACATAGATGGAAAAGTATCAGTCTAATAAAATATAATGTGGTGAATTTTTCAGGAAGATTCGTTCAGCCCTTGTAGCAGTCTTTGTGTTCCTGTTGGTGGTATTTTGGATGGTGCCTGTCGCGTTTGTCTCATCCATGATTCAGCTTGAGAGCTTAGCTAAGAAATTCCCGGATACTTTGGGCAGAAGTAAATATCATTAAATGGTATTAATTTATTCCATAAGTCAGATGTAATAGAACATTCTTCCTTTTGTTTTAGTTAACGACTTGCCAATTTTCGTAACTGGGTTTCTTGGTGGCTTTTTGGGTGGCCTGGCACTTCTTATTTTCTTCATCATTCTTCCTTTGGTGAGTCATATTCTGATGATTTATGAACAGAGCTGTCACATTTTATGCAAAGAATCTATATTTAAATTGATGTAGTTTTTTCTTCTTTTTCTTCTCTTTAGCTCCTTCGCTTTGTCTCCAGACTACAGGGTCTTTCATCTTGGACAGAGGTCCAGAGATCTTCTCTTGGAAAATTGTTTATTTTCAAGGTAAGTTAATCATAATAATGAATATGATGTTGTGTTCTTGCTGTTGTTAGCCTTATTGTAAGAGCAATTTCAAAATGCAAGTTCTACATCCTAGTACTGATATTCCAATTTCAATCATTATATCAATGTTGGTAACTAGCGGTAAACTAGTGTGTGGTGTGTCAGCGTTTCTAAAGAAACAGTTGTATAAAAAGATAAATTTAACACCATAAAAAAAAGTAGGTGAAATAACTTACTGAAGTTTCGGACTTTAATCCTTCGTTATAATAATATTGGTATCATACAATGATAGTATTCTATATAATTTATTCATGAATTCTTGGAATGGAATATCTTTCCTATGAAAATATATACTAATCATTAGATAAACTTTTTTTAGATCGTCAACATGTTCCTGCTACTTGCAGTAGCTGGCTCAGTCCTCAACAAGATTAGTGACACCATAAACAAACCAATGGAACTCCCATCATTCCTTGCTGAAACACTTCCCAGCCAATCAACTTTCTTCATCACATTGATCATGCTGATGTCGTTGGGTGGTTTCCCCTTGGAACTGCTCAGGATTGGACCTCTAATTGTCGTTGCTATYAAAAGGAARTTCCTTAATTTGACACCAAGAGAGGAYAAGGCGGCATGGAGACCACCTCCCATTGGGTATGATGTGCAGGTAACGATAGACGCTAAAATTTCTCTGACTGCAATACATATTCAATCAAAGGTCATTCAGACAATGAGTCTCAGTTGTATCCAGATTTTTCTTTGCCCAGGGAACAGTAACTGGTAAATTAGTTATAAATAATTATGCRGTATTTAGTCTTAAATCTTTTCTTATTCGTTTCCAGTATGCCAATCACTTGTTTGCATTGATTGTTGGCCTCTGTTACTCAGTCATGGCCCCAATCATGACACCTTTTACTTTCTTGTACTTCGTCTTGGCTTTTGTTGCTTGGAGCAACCAAGTTCTRTGTGTGTACATCCCGACCTTTGACTCTGGTGGTCTTTTGTGGCCTAAAGTCTTCAATAGGTAGTAYTTGGATTATAGTAATTCATCACCATCATCATTAGACTTTTCAACATCTGGTTCTTTGGTGTTAAGAAATGYATTGTTRTTCTTGTTTCAGGGTCATTGCTGGTCTCCTGGTATTCCAGATATTGATGATTGGTGTCTTTGGTCTCAAGATGGTTGCTGCAGTGTCTGTACTTGTTCTTCCACTGCCTCTTCTTACYGTGCTGTTCTTTGGATTTGTGCAGTTTAACCTTCTTCCACTGTCTGARAATCTTACATTGGAGAAGGTGACCTCAGAAGAAGAGCCTCAAGCTCCACAGGTAACCCGCATGTGTCTTTGAGGACTACATTTGACACAACTTCGTTCCCAGGACCTTTTGCTTGGGGTCAGGGATAAGGTCCTGGGAACGAGGTTRCATTTCCCATCATGCTTTGTTCTAGAAAATGGCGTCGCTGCACATTGACTATGATAGGCAATGGCCTAATAGAAACATAGAATTGAACAACTAATTTTTGTTTGTTTGTTTGGCAAATAGGAAATTACTGAGGGTTACATCAGGAACCACAAACTTCCTGAGGAGGAAGAGCTTAGCCAAGAACCATTGGAATCAGAAGACCACACCAATGAAGCTTCCCAGCTCATCRCCAACCCCTCGCATTCTCCACAGAAGACTGAGGACGAGTCGGCCAAGAAGGAAGAGGACACACATGTTTAAGCAGCGCTTGACATGGTTGACTAAACGATTGTAAGGAATTGAAGAGTTGAGTTTTAAAAGGCTTTTTTCTTTTTATTCGAACTGCACTTGAGATAGCTTAAGTCCAGACTGCTAAGATATTCCAGTGCATGGCTTTTTGCGCGTCTTTTCAATTTTCTTACAGGTTTTTGCCGAGATGGGTAATGTTGCGTTTAGTCTTGTATAGAGGATTGACTAGAGTGTTTGAACAACGTAGAAGTAGTCTTACACTATAGGAGTAGTTTCTAGATAACTTCCGTTGTCTATTTTATTCTTAATGTAATGTRGAAATAGGAGGTAAGGTTCTTCACAACGTACGGTGTTTTATTTCGTGTGTTTTTTTTTTCGACATTTAGAAATAGTGTTTGACAACCTCCATTCAAATTAAAGGCTTGTTCTTTAACTGGGCGGAGTCGTGCAACGATTTTCCGTGTCATTAGCTCGGAAAATCGTAGTAAAAGCGCTCAAAGCGCACTAGAATTCCAACTTATTGAAGTAAACTAGTGGKAAATGTAAACCATAAGGGCGCAGCAAAMACGTCCATCTTATGAAAGGGTCTTGATTGGAGGACATTAAAACAAACAAACCATAAAAATATACTATAGAAATATGCATATTCAAACATAAAGTAGTATTTGTCCAGCTAACCAAAGTATATAGATAAGTATATAATACTAGTACACTCGGTACATAAAGTTAACTTATTATTTTTATATTAGTAAATTAATATAACAGATAGTTTCATTGCTTTACACAAACTTGGGACGCACTGCTTGTCTGCTTTTTTCCTATACAGCCATCTCAAAAAGGTTGCTGGAGAAAAGGTAATTAAATAACCGCCGAAAGATTRAACGACCGCAAAGAAATGTGGGTATTTCATGTCATTTGGTATAATGATTTTACWCTAGAACAGCAGTTGTTTTAATTGACAGGAGAACTCATTAAACAATGATAGCCACTACGCATTGTATCCAATAGCGTGACCKTCGTTTAAGTCTACRTCCCTTTCCCACAACTTATTTTGGCACTAATTTCTATTGAAATTTAAATGAAAATTCAAGCTTGATATTCTGTTGCTCTTTTTGACATTGAYCTAGTATTGCCTAAATTTTTTATGTTACTTTATTTCCAAAAAACAGAACTGTATAACATGGAAAGTTTTGAGTGTCAAGAATATTAGCAAATAATTCATGCAATTTTAAAATCAGGATTTTAAGAATGATTCATAGCACTATATCCAATTACAATATAAAGATAATGAGACGCTAAGARAAAAAATAAACGTAAACCATAGCTAGATATACGCCTAATTGCACGAATTGTCAGTTAAGAAATGGAAAATCTGCACTTCAGTGCTAGAAGATCATTTAAAAGTGTTCAGCCCGAGTGATGTTCTTTTATCTCTCCTTTTGAATCTAAAAGAATAACTTCTATTTCTCAATGACAATGTTTTGCAATTAGATGTATTATATGTAAGTGGGCARCTATTTCAGAAAACGTTGAATTGTTGTACTGAATAAGTGAATAATTCCAATACCGAAATTCATTGTGTTTCTTCTCTAAAATGGACGGTTTGGACGATTTTAGAGTGACTATGCCAGCTTCGTTCAGTAAGGACATTCAGTGGAAAGCTATCTAGTTTAGARTTGCCTTGTAACGCCAGAYACATGGAGAACAATACCCGCARTGCATCTCGGTATTGGAGGTAGGCCATGTGATATCACAGTATTCAACTTTTCTTGAAGTTGCTTCATAATAATTAAGGTGTTAAAGTTCTTACTTAAGTCAGTACATAAACTGTTGTAACTCCATATATTAATGTGTTTGATAAAGTTGTTAAATTCAAGGTTGGCTAATCTGTGAAATGCAGTAACCTCAAATCGAGCGCTGAAAGYGAAACGCTCGAGAGATACGTGTGAAACGCTCGAGAGAGACGTGTTTGGCCTTTTTTCATTCAGCGTTTGAKGCGGCTGTTTTCACAGGCTTGAGCTAGAATCCACGACAAACGCAAGCGCAAGATCCATGGCAACCGTTAAAGGTATAAGTGCAAGAGTAAACAATCAAAATGTTTCTCCTGCAGGAATGTTTTGCTGTATTTCGATCATGCACGTTTTTTCTTGCGACTGTGCGTGCGTTTGTGGTTGCGGCGTGTTTAATATAAAATAACATGTAACTGTTTTGTTAGTACTGATCACTGCATAAACTGTYGTAACTCTATCTTTGTTGTTTGGTTGTTTCTTTACGCGTTAAACTGAATCTCTTTCTATGTTCTGATAGCCGGAAACACGTGTATTTTGCTCATTTCAATCAATCAATGGACGCGATATACAATAGTCATTTCATAAAACAATTTTCATTCAAGTTACAGTGTGCACACAGTTGAATTTTCTTTCTATATCCCAATAATACACTTTCAACATTTTAGTTCTAAACAGAGCGACTAATAGAGCCCCACATTTATCCGAGACTGCATTTGCGCGATTTCAATATCTGACATGCGAAAAATCGTTATCTTTGATTTTGAACCAATCAGAAAGCAGCTTTCAACAAGGGATCATCTGTAAAGCAAACGACCGCAAAGGTTCTCGAATGCACTTCGTTCTTTAATAGTCAATACCGTTACTTAATATTGGCCGTTGTTTCGATTCGTTATATATCTTCTTAGACCATAAGCGTTGCGTTATTTTAGGGCGGCGTCTATGTTMAGAGGCTGCAACATCCGTAAATGTTTCACGGTTTTGATATTTTCTATGAACGATAAAGCCTTTTTTATCATTATAAACATACTATGTTCATTTATACTCAGAKAAAACGAAACCGCACCCTCGATAACCCTGAATATTTTCTGAAAATATTGTAACAGATGTGTCGGAAAACGATGAATACTGGGGGAAGTGTATCAGTCAAAGACCGAAATGCATTATCGTTCTATCGCCGTTCAAAAGCAGTTTTCGTTGTTTCAGCGTGACTATATCAGTTCCGTACAGTCTAGCTAATGCATTTTAATATTGACAATGCGTTGTGGACTTGCAGTCACAATACTCAGTATTAAAAGTTATTACAGCAATCTAATTGCACGGGTTGGAGCGGCGTGGGCTTTCTTCACTCAGGAAACTGACGATTCTGGGTTAAAACAGTGACTGCTTCAACTAGTCATGCACTTCACCTTTCACCTTTCCCCTTTCCTCTACTCTCCACTCCACCATTCCCTGTTCCCTGTTCCCTGTTCCCTGTTCCCTGTTCCTGATTTTAAAACCTCAATCAGGTCAATCCTGTATTCCAGATGACAAAAATGTTTTGCAGTTTTTTGCCTCTTAAATGCTACGCTACCTACTTAGGGAAAGGAAAACATACTCAGAGGTCTGTTGTTGCTGTCAAACGCGATCAAGATAATATAACTCTTTAATTCTCAAAAAAACAATTTCTACTGATTGAGGTAAAAACCGTAAACTAGATGTTAGAGTATGGTTTTTCATCGATTGAGGAAGGAAAATGACTGTCTATGATATTAATAACGGTGAACAAAAAAACAAACATTGGGTTTGATGACTACTAATAATGATTACACTTCGTYTAGCATAACACGATGAAAACCCACTCTATCAATCTCTATCCTACATTTACAGACGCTACTTTTTTATGTTGAACCGCTCAGTAGTTAAGTCCGATGTCCATATTTTCGTCCCAATCGAGGTTGGCCGACATTGTTCTAGTTTCCACCAGCGATTAAACAACAATAGAAAATCGTTTCAAGGTGATTAAAACGATTTGTCTGATTATTTGGGCATTAGGCATCAGTTAATGCGAATGCTATACATTTTGTTTTTTTAAATTAACTAGTCATCTGTGAAATATTTTGACCCTCTATCTTTATTTATTCTTATCAATTGTGTTTGTATGACATACCATGATAAARGGTCGAAATAGGACAGCTACTCCATGAGTAATACAAACTGGTGATTGATAAAAGAAATCCCTTGCGCAGTTTGTGAGTTTGGGTTGTACCAATGTCTCATCCTTCCCGAAATAGTCACTCGACTAGAGCAAACGCAGGAAAACCATTAAATAAAACCAAACTATTCTACCTAAAACTGTCAGCTTGTCCTGGATTTAAGTACTAACAAATAGCRACTATYTAGAGACACTTTCTCACAATATCAATGAACTAGAACGCGCATTCTAGATCAATCTACATGAGACTATTTTAATTGTTAATTTATATCGATTCATAGTTTATTGTGTATGTCTGGCCTTTTATATGAAGACTATATATTTCAATAATACTATTTACAAAGAAAATGTAACTCTTGTCCTTGTAAAACAACCACGATAGAGTAGATTAACGATTAAAAAAATGGTCTCATGTGGATTCATCTTATATGCGTTTTCAGACTTTATCAGATACTGACAAATTTGTTTCCCGCTGCGTTTGCTCTATGTACAAATAGGCTGGTTAATGCAGTTTAACTATSGTTTATGTTTCTAAAAAGGTAAAGTAAACAAATGTAAAGCCAACGTAGATAAACAGAAACCCTCAAAAACACTTAATATGACCAGACAACCTATGAAGTAGGTATTCATTATTGAATTTATTATAACTTGTCGCACTGTAGATCACGCAACTGTSGGTCATGCGAATATCAATCACTCTATATATCCGACACCCTATGCAGTTTATTAAATACCCTTGTATAATTTGATCATTACTTCGGGCTAGCCGAAGGCTAGGTCTACTTGAGTTTTACCTCTTAACCTATCTATCTGTGTGTCATGTCGCGTTTGGACCACCGGAAGTTAAGAATTTAATAATTAACTATTGGGTTGACTGTGTTATTACATGTACATATAGATGTACAAATGTGGGTTCGTGGGTTCGAATCCCAGCGAGGTCGGAAATTAATTTTTCCGAATTTATTCCTAAGGGACTTCTCCCGGAATTGCCTCCTTCTAAGCACTATAACTTTCTTTCATTTCTATATCGTGTTTATCATAGTGCCATGCGGTCTTCATATTCATATCTTTACATTATTCTATTACCGCAACCTTAACATCTATTTCACCCCGACCTGCTCCCAGTCTGGCCTTGTAGCTCAGCTGGTAGAGCATCGGTGTACAAATCCGAAGGTCGTGGGTTCGAATCCCAGCGAGGTCGGAAATTAATTTTTCCGAATTTATTCCTAAGGGACTTCTCCCGGAATTGCCTCCTTCTAAGCACTATAACTTTCTTTCATTTCTATATCGTGTTTATCATAGTGCCATGCGGTCTTCATATGTACAAATATCGTTTGTAAATGTGAGATTCTACTTGCGGTTTTATGTGATAAAAAAACTATTCGTTTACAAATGTGGTATCTGTGATCTCATCTGAATGCATCAGTCTAGGCATCAGAAGTACGCGCATAATAAATGGTATAACTCAGCCGTTCACAATGAAGAATACAATGCACTACCTTKAAATGCATTTCACGCATTTACCACGCACAAAAGAATTTCAAATGARTTTCAGTCGAAACATAATAATTCATGCAACCAAAATGTCGGAAATGAGCTATTACCCAGTTAATCTCATCGTAATTAAATGTTTGTCTTGAGAAAAAAAGTTTGCAAAATACATGATTAGCCTTTTAACACCATTTCCTTTTGTTTACATAGAGACACCCAACTGTTCCTTCCCATGATTCTGCAGTTCCTCTATATATTTGCTAAGTAAATAGTCATCAAGATGTTTTCACATTGCTGTACAGCAATAAATTCCGGTCAGCCTCAGCCAAGACAACCTGATAAATTCTGGTCATGGTTGGTTTGTGCGGTTGGGACGTTTATCTTCACATTGACTATTGGTTTGGCGTTTACTTACGGCGTGTTTTTGCCTGTTTATATGGATGAATTTGACAGCTCGATAGAGGAATTATGTAAGGATAATAAACGAAAGTATCCTAATACTTWAACGTTGCTYACAACAATAACAACGTCATTTGCATGRCGACGTTTTTCAATTCCCAGAAAGACTTTCACTTGAAAATTCAAGATATCATAAAGAATTGAATATTCTTGTAAAATATATAGATGTGTAGTGCGCATGACGTTGTTGTTATCGTTTTTATTATGATCCTGTACGTATAACAAGAACGCAATGCATTGTTGGTATAAATTCTACGTCAKCTTCTTTACATTTTGCGGTCAAGAATCTGAAGTGGAATTTATACCAACAATGCATTGCGTTCTTATAGTCCACTGTGCAGTTCCACAGTATTGAATGTTTTCTAACAGTTATGTACGTATATAGCTTTGAGTTTTTGCGTGTTAACACAGTGCGATACAGTCAACTTTCTCCTTACGGACACCCCGCTTCAACTGACACCTCGATATTGCGGACAGTAAAATACTGAATCCCCGGCGAAAAATACAGAGAAATGACTGAAAGTAACTCCCGTTACTACGGATTCTCGCTACTGCGGACACTAAATTACGGTCCCGAGGGTGTCCGTAATTAATAGCGAGAGTTGACTGTACACCCCGATACAAAACAACGAACTCAAAGATGTGCAACTAGATTTCGCTGTCAGTTCAGTTCTTAATAACTTTAGTAAAATCAGGAGCATCAAAAGACAGTAGAACCCGTTCATTTTTGACAACATATTTGCAATCAATTTAATATAATCTTCTGTTTATTTTTTTGCMCAGCTGCTGTAGGGTCTGTTGCGCAAGGTCTCGTCTTCTTTTGCGTCCCACTTTCCTGTGGCATCATGGCGGCGATCAATTTTCAGCGAAGTGCCCTGCTTGG